GTGGATATTATGTTATGAGATATATGCTCCATATTGTCTCTGGAGACATTACACAAGCATGAATGAAGAATAAGGTATTAGCTTAATCCATATAAATATACATATGTATACTTCTTAAGTTAATGTTGTTGTTTGTAGCTTATCATAGTTTAAATTTTGTTCTAATTGTAAAATCCAAAAACCATACTCAATATAAGATATTGATGACATTCGATCACGTTGAGCTAGTGTCTTCTTATCTCATTATGAAGCTCGACAACGACAAAAATAGTTTCTCTTGATGGCTATAATCTTATTTTGTATATGAACATAGGTTGTGTCATTTTGATGTGCAAATATGATCATGTCAAATGAGGGTATTCTTTCTTGATGATAACAATGTAAATTTCCACATATGGTTTAAAATGATATGATGTATTCCAACTTTGTTACATATTTTGTAATTTCTGTGTAAAATAATGATACTGACAGGTTCATAGTTTTATAATGATATGATACAGGCCAGTGAAAATGATATACAAGCAAACAATGATACAGGCCAGTTAAATTGATAAATATAGGTAAAAAGCTTCATTTTAACCCCTCGTTTATTGCACAAAACTGAGTTAAATGAATGCCTTATTACCTCAAATTATAAATAAAACCGAAATGAATATGAAGCGCGCAACAAAAAGTAGAAAATAAAAAGTATGTAGTTCCTAGGGATCGAATCCATTAATTTTTAAATTATAGCCTCGGTGTTTTAAACATCGAGGTGTTAAGTGCTAACATTGCATGTCGCCCTTTGTTACCTCACCTGGCTACCTGAGGTTAAAGGCCTTTCGCGACCGGCGTTACATGCGTTATATGTAGTAGTGTTCCCAGAACCACCCCCTGCCAAACCTAGTCGGAGGTAACAATTGGTCTCCCGCCCCCCAACGAGGAACATGTTCTTAACACTGCTTCCCATGTACCCGCATAAATTATAATTTTTTTAAATGAATTTTTTCAAGACAATAAAAGGCAATAGTTAAATTAAATAATTGATCATTTAATAAATAATCATAATATTTGGTCATTTTTATTTAATTTATATTTTATAAAAAATAAAAAATAACTCTAATAAACTTAATATTTTAAGATTAGAAAGTGTAAGTGAGCAATAAAGTATTAAAAATAAAGATAACAAATTAAATTTAATAGGTGGGGATTGGTGTGGGACGGGTACTAGAATCCCACATCTCCAATCTTGCCCTTATAATTAAAAATTGGGTTTTCTTCACACTACTCCACCCCTAATTAATTCGGTTTATCGCTGTAAAATTTGAGGCGGGGCTGTTGGATTTGTCTAGGGTCGGATTTATTTGCCTTAACTATCTATGAAGATGTGAGAACCTTTGCACAGTTGTCATATGCATGAAATAGGTTGGGAAAACACTTGAACATGCCCAAATGACGTGTGAGCAAGACACATGGAAAACTTGAAATTTCCCACAGTCACACTATCTATCTAGCAATTTAACTTTGAAATGCCGGATTGGTCGTCCCTCATTGTGGTTCATAGTTTTTTCACCATGAAGCTAAATCACTCTTGGTATGGCGAGTGTTGTATTGGTGAACTTCTTCCTCCATACCTTTCATGCAATTTTATTTGAAAAACTTGGCCATAACCAAACATTATGTTTCGCTCACACCTTATCTTTCCAAATAGAGCTTCTAATTTATAGTAAGTCGGTTGTTATTTAGAGATATTATTGTCTCACCTTAAAGCAAGTAAGTTTGTCAAAAAATTTATTCACCAAGAATGTAGACTCATTTAATACATTTCATATATTCCCAATATAAATAGTATAAGTTTAAATATGTAACTGGAAACTATAGTACTAGGATAAATAAATATTGTTTCACGCATTATCAACCTTTTTGAGAAGTTATTTAGCTTCAATCAATCACATGAAGTTTTGTTCAACGTGCGTAATACAATACATATGTGACCACATATCGGTCACTTGAGAAAAAATGATGTAATACTTATTCACTTTATTACTTATTAATTTTCAAAATTCACAATACATACACTAATTATGACATTTCATGTATTAATTTATATGAAGGTCTTATATTTATTTTGTGGACTTTATTACTTCTTTATTTTTTCTTCTATGGTGCAGAAATGAATCAAATAGTTAAGAAAATTCAGTTTGGCATCCTCCAAGACATATCGGCTCATCAAAGGTAATTCAAACAATAACATTCAATGACTACCAGAAAAACTTGAAATGTAAAAAGTTGGAAAGACCTCAACAAAACATAAAAATAGAAAGTGGGAGAACTGATGCAATATTACATTGTCTGGTCCATTACATGTTATATTGAAGTTAAACTCAATAAAAAAATATATGAATTGGTTTAAATATACTTCAACGCCATTTCTCTTTACAAATCATCAACTAGTTAATTCTTATGTACGACCATCTTGCTCGATACAGTCTGCAAATTACACCAACACCCCTCAAATAAATACAAACATACAACACAACCAATCACACACAAACTTTATTCCCTGTGTCATCAAACAACTCATTAATACTAAAACCCCACAAAAATAACCATACATTGAATCTACCCAATAACAATGATATTTTAAACCCCTCACCCTTCTCCCATTTTAATATATGCAATCTACCCAACAATAAAAACAACTTTATTCCCAATTTCAACAAGAAACATCATACACTAAATTCTAAATTCATACGAATACATCATACATGAAACCACCACAACAACACTCAAACTTAAACCTACCGTTCCTACGATAATTAACTCCACAATCCAGCTACAAATTTCAAATAATGAAAGAATAATTCATGTTTTATTCATCACAACCATTAAGGCACCCAAACACATTGCGTCAACACTACCAAACACGCCACCATCAAGAATACGGTGAATAATAACATTCACAGTTTTGACTTTTCTTCATCTTTTTTTCTCTCTCTTCAAAACAACAATGGTAAATGATGCGTAAAAATTTGGTTAATACAATATATAGTTTGGTTAATGTGTCATGACATTAAAAACTAGAAATCAACTTTTGTTAATTGAGTGTTATAAATTGATTAATATAGATCATAAATTGGTTATTGAGGGCCCATAAATTAAAAACAATAAACTCTAACGTAATAAATTAACTATGATTAATGATATGAATAAGATTGATTAATACATGTCATAATTTAGTTAATGAGTTTTTTACATATAAAAAATGTATTAAGTAATAAAACAATGTTGGTTAATAGAGCGTGAAAATTGGTCAAGATATTTATAATTTAATATCTAAAAATAGTTAATATTATGTTTTTTAGTGGTTAATGAAGTACAGAAAGTGGTTAATGAATTATAACGAAAATAAGTTGTTAACAACCTAAATTTTTTTTAGATAAAGAAATGATGGAATTTGTTAATGCTACAACTTTATGTTTTTGATATAAAATAACTTTACAACATATTTCTTAAATATAATATTTTTATTTTTAAAATATTTTAAAAAATATTGTCCATTGTATAAATACGATCAACAATATTTTGATGTTAAAATTCACATATAAAAAGAAATAGAAATATATACAATGCATATGAATGGTAAACCGAAAAATACTTTATTTAATAGAAATAGAAATATACACATTTCTTCCATTTATTCTTTCCAATCAAACATTCCACCATAGGATTTTAAACTAATAAATCAAATGACGTTACTGAATAGGGAGCAAGTTCGACATTCATGTCATTGCTCTTGCATTTTCAAGTGCAGTTCTTTTGGGCACAATCTGTAGATATACAAAATAAAAAAAAATCACGTATTAGAAAATAATTTTCATATAATCAATATTGATTAACCTTAAATTAAATATGTTCATCAAAACAAAAACTTAAACTAAAACATAAAGAAATTCATTTCAAAAAATCACAATATATACATATGAAAAACTAAGTATTGTGTTAAAAATAAAATGTACCTTTGTTGGCTCGAAGAATGAATTTTCATCCATTTTATTCGAGGATGTAAGTATCACTTTTGATGAACCAAGTTGTTGCACATTTGATTTTAAATTATTTATTAAAATCTCTAAATTTTCAGTTGAGTTTCCAAAGTTTACTATCTGCACAAGTCAATAGTTGAAAAGTTAACTAATTAAAAATTAAATACTTTAAATCAACATTTATTTTTGATTAAAAAAAGTGTTGTTTTACCTTGACTTTTAGATAGTTCTTCCCATCTTGAAAATTTGTATACTGAATTGCAGAGGCAACAATTGAGCTAGAAGAGTTGTGGAGAGTTGAGTTAAGAAAGGTTGCTCCATTAGAATCAATAAAAAATTGTTGGAGCCAATAACTTGGAGTTCCATAATTTTGATAAGAGTTGAATACAATTGCATCTGGTATCCAACTTTTTGCATATATAGAAAATAAACTTAATAAATAATCTATCTCATTACATATATAAATGATAAATCAAAATAAATTATAAGAAATTATAAAATTACTATTTGTCATTTGTGTTTACAAAGAGGGGTGCATAGGCAACCATGCTGACAACATCACTGTAGAAAATTTAAAAAATTATTAAAATTTAGCTCAAAAACAAAATCTTTATAAATTAAATATCAAGAAAAATGTTATATATATATATATATATATATATATATATATATATATATATATATATATATATATATATATATATATATATATATATATATATATATATATATATATATATATATATATATATATATATATATATATATATATATATATATATATATATATATATATATATATATATATATATATATATATATATATATATATATATATATATATATATACACTAAAACCTAACCTATTTTTTTCAAGTCCAATGAGAAATGCAGCTTCAGCGACAGCTGCATAAAGGCTTCCATTACCTGCATCTTGACTCCAAACAGCATACTCACTAACATATGCCTATAAAATACAATTAATTAAAAATGAGAAAAATTATATATCAATAAATTTTTAAATGTCTAATATGCCTTTTTAAAAAAATATAATGCATTATATTTTAGATAAATGAAAAAATATATTTAATAATCAAACCTTTGGACCGGATCGTGGTGCTTTATCGAACTTGGTATATTGGGAAAACATGTCCTTTGAATTTGTATAAATCTAAGAATTGAAAAAAGTATTAACAATAATAACATGTAAGTTATTAAACCTAAATTCAAATTTAATATTAAAAAAATAATAATAGTAAAAAAATATAAATTAAATAAATAAATAAAAAATTAAATGAACAGTATTATTACATGAAAATCATAAAGATCCGCAGGATGATTTAATGGATATTGAGAACCATCACAATTTGAGATAATCTGAATATCAGGATATGTATGTTTTATAGCTTTATAGAATTCGAGATAATTTCCTTGATAGTTATATTTACCACAATCTTCATTTCCAACTCCAACATATCTCAAATCAAATGGCTTTGGATGTCCCATGGAAGCTCTAAGAGAACCCCATTTTGATTCAGGAGAACCTATAGCAAACTCAATACCATCTAGAGCTTCCTAAAAATTAATGATTCAAAAAGTATAAATAACAATAAAAAAATGAATTAATTAAAATTACAAATATAACTTATATAATAAAAAATATATTAATAAAATTATACTTGTACAAATGGTGAAATTGCAGACGTATTAATTTGATCATGGTGACTAATACCATTATTAAACACCCATATTGGATATGCCCCAAGATCCTCTGATAACTGTTTAATAAACAAAAAAAAATTAATAATTTTTAAATTGAAAATAAAAATATTTAATACTTAAAAAAAAAGAATTACTTGAAGCCCTTCAAAATAACCAAATCCATCATCGGTCCAGTACTTCCACATATCATTATAGTGGCCAGGTCTCTCTTCCCATGGTCCAACTGTATTTTTCCACCTAAATGCATTTTTTAGATAATTTCCTTCAACATAACAACCACCTATATAAAAATAATATATTATATCATTGTCACTTAGTAAAAATTAATAAAAAAAAAAAAGAAGATGGATTTGAATAAAAAAATTTCATTAAAGAAACAACTATTTGAAGTGATTCCAACTCAATAATATTGTATCATACCTGGGAACCTAAAAGTTTTTGGCTTTAAATCTGCCACCATTTGAAAAAGGTCATTTCGAAAACCATGACCCTGTGTTCAATAATGACTAATGAGATAATTTTTTATGAAAGAGAAAATAGTTTATATAATCTAAAAATAAATAATAAATAAATAATATAAATATAACTTTATGCATAACATACCTTATATGTATCTAAAGGCATGGCTGAGATTTGATCTAACCATAATACTCCTGTTTTGGTTGTTGTTATTTGTAGATTTGAATTGTGATTAGTAATTTTGGCTTCAAGAATTGTTTCCATTTTACTCCACTTTGTAACATTAACTCCAGAAGATCTGATATTCATTGATTTATAACTCAATAATTGATTTATTTTAGTTTGATGATAATAAAATAATGAATAAGATTTTGTATCAAAAAGTAAAATAAAGAAATATAATTATAACCTTATTTTAGTTGAAGCTAATTTGATACCATTATCAGATCCAACAAATGAAACTCATAAGTTAATTGGACCAAGTGATCTAATATAGAACACTACTTTATATTTCTTTCCTGCCTCAATATTCTGTTTATATAAAACATTGAAAAATATTATAAATAACATTAAATTTTTTCATATGAAATATAAAATATAGTATTAATTGATACTCACCATTCCCCAAAAACCCGGATTGGAAATACCAACACCACCATGTGGACAAGATTTTTTATGACAAAGAACATCCATACGTAATGCAATTTTATTACGCTCAAAACAAGAAGAACTCTCTGTTGATATAATAATAGATGATTGATTTTCTCCAATAATTGTCCATGGATAAATATTTGAGGTCCCATTAATGGAAGCTTCTGCTTCAAAACCTGAAACATTAGTTTACAAAAGATATAAAATAACGAAACAGATCTAATGGTTGAAACAAATATTAAAATGAAATAAAAATTAGTAACATAAATTTTTAAAGTAAATATTTAATTTTTTTATCTTATTAGGAAAATAAACTCAAAGATAAAAAAATTTCAAAATGACAATATATACACCTCTATTATTCACAAGTTCTGCCCACAATCCTCCAGCTCCTGCATGATTAATCTCCTGAAAAATATATAGTACATCAATGTATTATAAGATAAAATTAAAATAGTACTTTATACATAATATTTATAGTTATTAAAATTTATTGAAACTGTAATTTACTTCAAAAAATGCTCCAAAAAATGTATCTGGAATAAGCCTTCCAGAACTAGCATCAATAACTAGTTTTGGTATGATTTGGCTAGCATTAACATCATAGTGGCATTTAGAAATGACAAAAAAAACACCTATGGAGAAAATAAAGGAAGTGGCAGAACTTGAGAAAGACATTGTAAATTTACAATATATTTTGATAAATCCTTTCCACTCATATTTATAAAGGAAGAAAAATCTATAAATTGAAGATGAGTTGTTAACAACATAATCTATAATTTGGATGTTTTCTATTTATAAATTAAGTTGTATTCCTAAATTTGATTTTTATTTTTATTTTTAACCTACATTACCTTGTTAAAATATTCCCACCATACCTCATAACAAATTATTACGAAACTCTACCAGTAAACAATTAGTATATACTTTTTAAAATCTATTGCAAAAAAGATATCAATGTTATTTAAGGATAAACACTATTTATAGTTGTAGAACCATGTATAATATGTTAGAACAATGTTTGAATCTAGTACCCTATATTTGAGTTTTGATGATAACAAAGTGAAAAGATATGGTATTTATATGTTTCATGTTTGAACTATATGCTGCCTAAAAATACTATGCTCTGACTTGCAGATATGCTGATTAAAATAAGCAAGATCACTTCATCAGCATCAGAACTTGATTTGATACACCAGCATCAGAAGTTGCTGAATCAGAACGTGAAGATCAGATGATCAACTCACGCACATGCTGAAGCTTGATGAACAGAACTGCGCGTAAAACACTCTGATACAGAAACAATAGTTCATCAGCAGCGAAGCAGAATCAGAATGAGCCAAGCCAGAACGTGCATTGAAGAAGCAACGGTACTGTGCATTGAACGCCAATTAATTCCAACGGCATCATTCTAGACAAGATCTGCTCAAAAAGGAAAGCTTGTTATTAGCATTGAATCAAGAATATTGCATTCAACGTTCATCTTCTCAAGTGCTATATAAACAAGGCTTCGAAGATTATCATGGCTAATGCTTCCAAACTCTCTACACGCACAAAGCTGAACAATAATCTTCATCTACCAGTTTTGCTAAACCAACAAACTCTGATACTCCATTAGTGTTTAGCATTCTAAGTTTCTAAGCTTAATTTGTGTATACATCACAGTTGTGATATAGTTTTGTAGAAAACATTCACACACATTTGTTTTATACCTTTGTAAGAAAGTGTTGCCTTGACAAACCGGATTGTGGTTTGAATCAAGAAGGCTTTAGCAGTTGTTAAAGCAGATTTGTATTCAGTTGAATATAGTGAATTAAGACCTCGTTGGAGAGAGGCGAAATCACCTTGACGGGTGGACTGGAGTAGTTTGAGATCAAACGAACCAGGATAAAAATACCTTGTCAATTGCTTTAAGATTCCAGTTTTACAATTCAACCCCCCCCCCCCCTTCTTGTGTTTTTCACCCCTTCAATTGGCATCAGAGCGCCTGGTTCTGAGCTAAAACACTTAACCGTGTCAGTACAAGATCCAGCGTCAGAAAAACACAATGGCAGGAAACAACTCTCATTTCAGCAATGACAACAATGAGGATAGAGACAGATTCAGCGGCAAACCTCCAGTCTTTGATGGAGAAAACTTTGATTACTGGAAAGACAGAATTGAAAGCTTCTTTCTAGCACATGATGCTGATCTGTGGGATATGGTGACAGATGGATACACGCACCCTGTGAATGCAACTGGTCAGAAGATTGAAAGAAAATCAATGACTGATCAACAAAAGCGTGATTTCAAGAATCACCATAAGGCCAAAACCATCCTCCTCAGTGCCATCTCATATACTGAGTATGAGAAGATCTCCAACAGAGACACAGCTAAGAACATCTTTGATTCTCTCAGAATGACGCATGAGGGCAACGTTCAAGTCAAAGAAACAAAAGCTCTGGCGCTCATTCAGAAGTATGAGGCGTTCAAAATGGAAGAATCTGAATCCATTGAAACTATGTTCTCTAGATTCCAGATTCTGGTAGCTGGTCTCAAAGTTCTGGACAAAGGATACTCTACTGCTGACCATGTCAAGAAGATAATCAGAAGTTTACCCAAGCAGTGGAGGCCTATGGTTACTGCTCTGAAGCTAGCGAAGGATCTCAACAAAATCACTCTGGAGGAACTTATAAGCTCCCTCAGAAGTCATGAGATAGAGCTAGAAGCTGATGAGCCTCAGAAGCAAGGTAAGCCTATAGCTTTAAAATCTAACAGAAAATCTGAATCTAAAGTTTTGCAGGCAGTTGAAGAAACATCTGATGGATCCTCATCAGAAGAAGACGAACTTTCCCTTCTCTCCAGAAGAGTAAATCAACTGTGGAAGCAAAGACAAAGGAAGTTCAGGAATCCCAGAAGATCTGATCAGAACGAGTCTTCCTCCAGATACAGAAGGACAGATTCTTCCTCTGGATACAGAAGATCTGAAGGCTCCTCCGGTAGCAAGAAGCCAAACACAAAAGACATCATCTGCTACGAGTGCAATGAGCAAGGACACTACAAGAGTGACTATCCAAAGCTTCAGAGGGAAAAGCCCAAAAAGAAGTTTGGAAGAGAGAAGAAGAAAAGTCTCATGGCCACATGGGATGACTCTGACTCGTCTGAAGCTGACTCAGAATCAGATGATGAAAGGGCTAACATAGCGCTCATGGCTAACATTCCAGATGACAGTGAAGCTTCTGAATCAGACTCAGAATCAGACACAGAAGAGGTATTCCCTAACTTCGCTGTTAATTTTACAAAGGCTGAACTTGCTGAAAGCCTCAATGAAATTCTGGAACGTTATCAGCAGATTAGAGCTAAATTCAGAGACCTGAAAAGGACTCTTGAATCTGACTCTAATAAGTCTGAGAGTCTCAAATTGGAAAACTCTGAGCTGAGAGATAAAATTTTAAAATTAGAAAACTCTTTACAAAACTCTCAGAAGGAACCAATTTCTGAAACTCCCAGCAACGCTGATGAGATCATCAAGGAGTATGATCATAGTTTCCAGAAGTTCCTTGCTAAAAGCATAGATAGAAGCAGAATGGCTTCAATGATCTATGGAGTTAGCAGAAACGGCAGGAAAGGAATAGGATACCTAGGTAAGGTTCCTACACCTAAAAATGTCATGGATTTAGTTATTAAACACACTCCTCTAAATTCACACTTTGTGTATGGTCACACACACGACATCAAATACACTAGCAGTAAGCACTCTGTGAAACCAAAATTCAACCAGAGTTTTGGTAAAACTAACAAGTCAGGACCCAAGAAGATCTGGGTACCTAAGGACAAAATAATACATGTTGCAGATATCTTTAGCAGCAAGTCAGAAACACCAGTCATGGTACCTGGACTCTGGCTGCTCACGACACATGACGGGAAGAAGGCATATGTTCCAAAGCCTGGAACTTAAGCCTGGAGGCCACGTTGGCTTTGGAGGCAATCAGAGGGGAAAGATAATTGGCTCTGGAACTGTAGGTAACGGAAATCTTCCCTCTATTAATAATGTTCTGCTTGTAGATGGATTGATGCATAACCTGTTATCCATAAGTCAATTAAGTGATAACGGTTATGATATAATCTTTAATCAAAAATCATGTAAAGCTGTTAGTCAGAAAGATGGGACTATCCTGTTTAATGGAAAGAGGAAAAACAACATTTACAAAATCAAACTTTCTGAACTAAAGAGTCAGAACGTAAAATGTCTTCTGTCTGTTAACAACGAGCAGTGGATCTGGCACAGAAGATTGGGGCATGTTAGTATGAGAAGAATATCTCAGATTAACAAACTCAATCTGGTCAGAGGACTTCCAAATTTGAAGTTCAATTCAGATGCTCTGTGTGAAGCATGTCAGAAAGGAAAATTTGCAAAACCTTCTTTTAAATCCAAAAATGTTGTTTCTACCTCTAAGCCATTAGAACTTCTGCACATTGACTTATTTGGACCAGTTAAAACTGCTTCAGTCAGTGGCAAGAAGTATGGGTTAGTAATCGTAGATGACTATAGCAGATGGACATGGGTAAAGTTCTTAAGACACAAGGACGAGTCACACTCTGTGTTTGTTACCTTCTGTAACCAAGTTCAGAATGAAAAAGATCTTAGAATCGTTAAAGTCAGAAGTGATCATGGTGGAGAATTTGAAAATAAAGATTTTGAGTCATTCTTTAATGACAAAGGCATTCTGCATGATTTCTCTTGTCCTAGAACTCCCCCAACAAAATGGAGTTGTAGAACGAAAGAACAGAACATTGCAAGAAATGGCCAGAACCATGATCAATGAGACAAACGTTGCTAAGACTTTCTGGGCAGAGGCAATAAACACAGCGTGCTACATTCAGAATAGAATCTCAATAAGACCTATTCTGGAAAAGACTCCATATGAATTGTGGAAGAACAGAAAGCCCAACATTTCGTATTTTCATCCATTTGGATGTACTTGCTATATGTTAAATACAAAGAATTATTTGAACAAGTTTGATTCTAAGGCACAGAAGTGTATTATGTTAGGATACTCTGAACGCTCAAGAGGGTACAGAGTATACAATACAGAAACACAGATTGTGGAAGAATCAATCAGTGTTCGTTTTGATGACAAGCTTGACTCTGAAAAGTCAAAGCAGAATGAAAATCTTGCAGGTATAGAAATTGAATTTGCAGGTTCTGAAGACAAGTCATCAGAAGCTCTCAACACAGACATTCCCTCAACGTCTGAAAGAAGCAATGCTAGAAATCCTACAACTGCTGCTGATCAACCTCAGAAGAGAGTACCCAGAAGCAGTTTGGATCACCCAGAAGAAACTATTCTAGGAAGAAAGGAAGATCCAATCAGAACAAGAGCAAGCTTCAGAAACTCTGAAGAAACTCTTATGGGACTTGTGTCTCTGATTGAGCCTTCTTCTATTGATGAAGCACTTCTGGACAATGACTGGATTCTGGCAATGCAAGAAGAGCTGAATCAATTCACCAGAAACGACGTATGGGATCTCGTTCCCAGACCAAAAGGATTCAACGTCATTGGAACAAGATGGGTGTTCAGAAACAAGCTTAATGAACAAGGTGAAGTCGTCAGAAACAAGGCACGACTGGTTGCACAAGGTTATAGTCAGCAAGAGGGGATAGACTATACAGAAACCTTTGCCCCAGTCGCCAGGTT